AAAGCCTTAGTTATGCAAAAGTCTCGACTCTGTAATCACACTTGGTTAGCTCGAGACTAATGAGTCGTTCAATGTCATTTATGTGTCATGAAGATTGTTTCCCTAATTACCAGTTTATTTCGACTTCACTAATAATTATCTCACAGGAGCTTTTTAAACCACTGTTCATTTGCATGTGTAGAACTCACATGTTGAGAGTAAACTAAGAATGGATTTTTTTTTTTTTAAGTTAAAGTCAAACTGGAATGGCAGTTCACTGTACCTTGGCGGCTCCCTCCTCCTGTGGTAAGCAAGCCCCATGCAAGAATTGACTGTTGTCCCTTTAAAAGCGTCTGGTGGCCGGCTGTGTTTATAATCCTGGAATCCCATGATTTGGTCCCACCTCCCAGCCTTGCTCACACACTCCTGCTCACATTTGGTCTAGATTTGACTTTTCCTTGCTAAAGAAGAACAAGATTTATTGCCAGTCAGAAGCCAGCAGGCCCCCACATTTAGGAAAAATAAATAAATGAATCCTAGTCTGCCAGAGCGAACCGCGCTCCTGTTCCACTGGGTCTTTCGAAAATGGTCACGCAGATCAGATCCTGCTGCGTGTCTGTGTGTAGAAAGTATCAAGTCGTCCAAATGCTTCTCTCTTTTGGCTCATGGGATTCCTGAAGTTACCCTCTGAGGTCTTTGGGGAGGAAAAGGAACAGGTTGTTCATACATTATTTAATGCTTTTTCATTGAGAAACATATACCTGCCAGAGACGGGGTATCCTCAGGAACTGAGAGCCAGTGCACACGGTGTCTAAGACAGGGACGTCCCCATCCTCAGGTAGCTTAGTGGTTGAGGGGTCGTTGAGCCCTCCCATGAGTCTCGATGCCTTCTTTCACTTACTAGTCATAGCAGACTATGAGACAGGCCTTATTAACCTCACTTTGTAGATGAGATAAGTAAAACTCCCAGAGGTCAAGTGACCTGAGTAAGGTCACCCGGCTGATGAAAGGGTGAGCCACAGCTCAAATCTGGGCTTCCTCAACCCATGGGCTATGGATTGGGTCCTGGATTCTTACCTAATTGTGTGACCTCAGGTCAACTCAGATCAACTCAAGCTCTCTTTTCCAGTCTCCCACAGCCCTGGGTTGCGCTTAGAAAGGTAACCGGTGCAACACACAACAGATACTGGGCATCTCAACTTAGTAACTTCAGGGATTTAAAGTTTATAGAGGCTCCAAGGGGAGGAGGGAATGTCTTTGTGAGATTGGGGGCTCAGGGGTGGGGTGTCAGAGACATCTGGGCAGGATAGAGGATGACAGGATTCTCTCAGAGAGGTGGTCCAGGAATTCCCAAAGGTTGGCCTTGACTCAGGCAATCGCTCTGTCAGTTTGAAATGAGTCACTTGTGGCATGGGGCGAGCAACCTCAGTCCCTCGCTAAACTACCGGGAAGAGGGCCCGCAAAGTATTTCCTTCTGGGAGAGAAGAGTCCTAATTATAACCCCTAGAATTTGCATGGCCCTCCAGAGTTTGTAAAGCACGTTCATATCAGTTACCTCATCTGCTGATTGTTAACTGTCCAGAGGCCGAAGGGACCAGGGTTCGAGAAGACTGAGTCAAGTGGTCTTCATATATTTTTTCCAAAATCAACTCCTTTGTCAGAATGAAATCTCACTCAGAAGTCTAGGGTCTAAAGTTGACGAGATTGGAAGTCACCATTGGGATGGGGATAGGATTGGGGGGGGCACAGCCTATGCTGAAGCCTTTGCTTGGGCCCCTAAGTCTGTTCCTGAAGGGTCTCCCAGGAATCTGCAACTTCCGTGAAACCCAACGAGAAACATTATTGCAGTGAACACCCATTCCATTTTATTTGCCTCTCCTGAGAAAAGAGAGCTGAAGGCCCGGGAGCTAACCAGAGAAGTCCAAGGTCACTCTTGAGCCAGTGCCCGCTCCTTGCAACTCACCAGGGCTGCTTCCTCAGGTGGTTAGAGTCTGAAGATCTTCCTGGGGGTCACTGGGCACCCAGGTGTCTCAGGAAGGTGTCCTCTTGGTGACAGACATCTCTGCTATGACTGGGGACATGGTTCAAAGTGCCTGCTTTGCAGGTGGGGCTCAGAAGCATCATTTTCTTTTCAGGAATCATGGGGCCAGCGGCATAGTGGTTGGGAGTAGGTCCAGTAATTTTTCAGTCCCCAACACTTTCCCTGGGAATGCAAGAGGAGCAGCCTGCTGTCAAGCAGGCTCTCCCCAGCTCTAAACCTTACGCAGAACTAGAGAGTGATCATTATTGGCTGAATGTTTCCCCCCAAATTATATTTTAGACTCTTAACCCCGAATGTAATGATACTTGGAGGTAGGGACTTCGAGAGATAATTAGGTCAGGAGGGTGGAGCCCTTATGAATGGGATTAGTGCCTTTTTGAGAAGGACTGGGAGCAGGCTTGCCCCCTTCCCTGCCCCTGCTCAATCTCCGTCTCTGTCTCTCCCTCCCTCTCACCCTCTCCCTTCCTGTCTCTCACTCTATCCCCTCTGGGGCTCCCGCCCTCTCAGTCTCCCCCATCATGTGAGGGTAGAAGACAGACATCTGCAAACCAGGAAGAGTGTTGTCAGCAGAATCCAGCCCCGCTGGCCCCCTGATCTGGGACTTCCCAGCTTCCCAAACCATGAGAAATAACTATCTGTTGTTTAAGCACCCCATCTGTGGCATTCAACTGTAGCAGCCAGAGCTGGCCAAGAATGTCTTGGAATGGTTGAAACGGTAAATCTTACATTAGGTGTGCCTTAGCATAATAATAATAATAACAACAACAACAACAGCAGCAGCAGCAACCACAATAATTAAACTTATATTGGCTCCCTATTCCCTAAGGGTCAAGTTCAAAGTCCCTGAAACAGTCTGTGACCTGAGCCGGGGCCTCCTGTTTGCTATCCTCTTCTCAACATCTTCGTCTCACTGAATCTTCAAGCCACACTAAACTGCTCTCCATTGCCAGAACAAGTCATGTGCTTTCACTTTTCTGCGCTCACTCACAAGTTTGCTTTTAGTCATAATAACAAACACTTCTACAGTGCTTATTGCATGCATATTTACGCATATATCTAGTGCTTAATATGTACAGGACATCTGAGTCATTTAATCTTCCCCAAGTCTATGAAGTAGACACCGTTATTAACCCCATATTAGACATGAGAAAATTGAGGCACAGAGAGGCTAATGTGCTTGCTTGCACTGTGACCTTGTGGTCACCAAGGCAAGTAGGAAGCTAGGCATTCCGGCTCCTGAATCCGTGCTTTTAGTCACTACGGAGTACTGCCAGTGGGTGGATGCCTTGTCCTGAAGAATTCCTCCTCCTTTAAGACCTGGCTCATATACCACCTCCAGCAAGAAGTCCCCCTGGGGTTCCCCCAGAAAAGGGTGGGACTCTCTTCTCTAGGATGGATAGCACTCTGCTCACAGGGATTCTGCACTACATTTCCTATTGTATGCTAACAGCCAGCTTGTGAGTCTGATTCTCTACCAAATTGTGGGGCCCCTGACGGTAGGGCAGATCTTCCTTATCTTGATATCCCTGAGCACTCGCTACAGGTTTGGTGAATAAGGGATGGCTGCATACGCTTTCTCCCAATTTTTCAATTTCTTCCCATAAATAACAAAATCAAAGAGGAATTGCTTTGGTCAGAAATCCTGGCACGGCACCTACAGGATCATGCCAAGGTCACGGACAGCATTATCTTTTTCTGTGTACCCCACCGGGCAAAAAGGCCATTCAGTTACACTTCTGGTGTTCCACATCAACAATAAATACTGCTCTTGATTTTCAAATATGAAATCACTGTTATGTTATAGGTAGATATGAAATTATAATTCAAAGGGTGACTTTTCTAACTCAAAATGCCTCTCTTGAAGAACAGGACAATCCTCCTTCTCTTTCTGAGATGTACTGGGTAGGACGGAGGAGGGAAAGTAGATGAATGTTTGCATCATTGGAGCCTAAACAGGAGCAAGAGAGGATGGGTGGATGTATGGATGTTTGTGTGGTGGCTGGATTTGTGGGTGATGGGTGGATGGGCGATGGATAGATACACTGATGAACAGATGTGGCTGGCTGGAGAAGAGGATAGTATACAGATGGATGGATGTAGGTTTATGAAGACACTTGAAAAAGGATGTATGGGAAGGTGGAGAAGTTGTATAGGAGGGTGATCTGAAGAATAAATGGATGGATGGTTGGATGGATGGAAGGAAGAATGTGTGGTTGGATAAGTAGATGGAAGGGATGGATAGATGGGTAGACAGGTGAATAGGTGGGTGGGAGGATGTTTGGGAAGATGAATGAGTATGGGTGACTGGATGGATGAGTGGCTGGATGGATCCACGTGCCAGCCTGAGGCTGGAAGATGACACATGGGTTGGAAGAGGGAAGTAGCAGTCCCAAGACTGGCCCTCTTTTGTTTTCTCTGAGCAGCCCTGATAAAAAGCAAAACTCCACCTGAGCCAGGAGAACTTGGCTTCTCTTTCACTGGGAAGAAGAAGGCGCTCATCCTCTTCCCCTGGGAAGAATCACAAGCTCCCAATCCCTCCTACCCAACGTGCGCACGGGAACTCAGCTCTCCATGCAGGACCTCCTTGCCATGAGGCCATCTCCCCTCCCAGAATATCCAACTGGCTGCGAAACCCAGAGACACTACTCCCCAGCCCGATTCTCAGAGAAACTCAGCGGAGAGGAGGGGTCGGAGGCTGAACCCAAGGCGGCTGGGTTTGGGGATTCAGTCAATCCCTTGCGGGTCCTGAGGCCGCCTTCCCGGCGGGCCCGGAGAAGACCCCGGTGCGTCCCGGGGTGCACAGGCACCCCAGCCCTCCCGGCGCCAGCCCAGGCCGCCCGGATTTATGGTCTCGGCGGAGCACGGGGCGGGGGCGGAAGGGCCAGCGCAGGGGAGGGCTGCTACGTCTTTAAACCTCTGTAGGCTGCTTAGTCACAGCCCCCTCGCTTGGGTGTGTCCTGCGCTCGCTCCCTCCTCCCTCTTAGGTCACTCTTTCAGCCCTTGAATAAAAACTGCACCCAACTTCCCAGGCGCCCTCATTGCCCAGCCGGACCCCAGCCCCTGATAGGTTCCGTCCCGCCCGCTCGCCCCGTGTTCCGCCGGCCCCTGCCCAGCGCCCCCGACCCTCCGGCGCCCCGCGCTCGCTCACTCGGTTCGCTCGCACCATGGACAAGTTTTGGGGGCGCTTCGCCTGGGGACTGTGCCTCCTGCAGCTGAGCCTGGCGCAGATCGGTGAGTGCCGCGGGGGGCAGCGGGAGGGAGTGGCCTGGGCGGCCCGGAGGGACCCGGTAGCCACCTGGCTGAATTGGTCCCAGGGACCGGGGACCGGAGGCAAGTGGGAGGCGGGTCGCGTGGATTTGGTTCCGGAGAGCGGGGCTAGGATTTGCGCTAAGCCGTTGGAGAGTGTGCTGGAGGGAAGCGCCGTTGGATTCAAAGGAAAAGAGAAAGAGCGACAAAGTTGGCCGGGCAGGCTGCCGGCGCGCGGTTTTGGGTGAGGTCGCTGGTGCCGGAGCACAAGGCAGAAAGTAACTGTACTCCTGGGTGCGCGCAACCGGTGTCTGGACCAACAGGCTCATGTGCCCACGGGCGCTGGAAGCCTGGCTGGGCTGCGGCCGGGCAGGGCAGAGCTAGGCGGGGCCGGGGCTGTTGGCCAGGTGGCCGTAGAGATGGTGGTGTGAGGGCTGATGGCCATGAGCTTTCCAGAAAGGGGTGCGGGTGCCCTGGAGCTCCCCACTGGGCCTGGGTTCCAACGCCCTTGGAGCTGGCTCCAGTCACTGCCTATCCAGCGCTTGTGGGAACTTGAACCAGCTCTGTGAGGTTCTGGGTTTCCACGAGGTGCCAGCCTGGGGCAGGGAGTGTGAGGAGGAAGGGCAGTGACTGAGCCCGCTACTGGATCCTTGCGAGCCTCCTGCTTCTGCCAATCAGTTAGGGGAAACCCAGACAGTACTGTGGCTCACATTCCCTGCCTGGCAGCCTCAGAACAGGGAGGGGAGCCTGGGCATCCGGGTCGTGTTAGGGACCCCGGAGCTGGGGCTGCCGTGCCCCATCCGAACAGGGTCTGTACCTTCAGGGGCTTTGGAGTGCAAGATGGCTCGTGGGCTATTCTGGTGAGACCGAACTCCAGGCCTTCCTTCTCTTTGTCTGTATGTGTACAGATAATTACATGGCTGATTTGCTTATTGCTAGCAAAATTAATTTTTCTTTTAAGAAGTGCCAGCTGGGTCATTAAGACAGCTCAGCCTATGGTTCATTCTACTCAGCAAGTCTTTATTAAACCCAGCTCTGGGGGGGACCAAGAAAGTAAAGACACAGTCTTACCTGGGTATTTTGGGCTGGGGATGAGTGAGGATTGAAGAGTTAGATTGGTGAAACAGAAATAGTAATAGCGATGATAATCATACTAATAGAAGAAATGCCAGCTCCGGACGCCGTCTGCTACATGCTTTCAGGGGGCCAGACGCCGTGCTAAATCTTCATAAGTGTTAACTTTCTTTATGCTCACGGTGGCCCAAGGAGAAGTGTCCTGTTACTAGCCCTGTTTTACAGGACGGAAACAAACCGAGGCTCAGAGAGGTTAAGCAACTTGTCAGTTTTCACACAGCCAGAAGGATTGGTGCACGTGTGAACCCAGGTCCATGAGCCTGTGCTTACTGGGAACATGTTAGACTGTATGGATAGTCCAAACATCCTTGGAAAGAGTTTGGGGACAGAGGGCTCAGGTGGATCAGAGGCCATTGAGGAGGACTTTAAGGCGAACTGAGCTCTAACAAGCCCTTGAAAGGCAAAAATGCTCCAGGTGCCAGAGAAGAGAAAATCTGGAGTTCAGGGAGAGCGCTGGCCCGGCCTTCTCTGGGACCTCCAGGGACGTCTATCTGGGTATTACCTTCCAGCGTTTCTTCTGCTTTGTTTCTGAGGATCCTGATTACTGACTCCTTCCAACCGGTCTCCTTGATTCTTCTGAAGGGCCCTGTCCCCAAATATTTGGGGCTGTCCTGACCCTTGAGTTCTTCCAGAGACCAGAAGCCTCATTCCCTGCCCCACATTTTCATGGTCCTTTTGGGCAGCATCATTTGGAGGAAGCACGAAAAAGTGCCAGTAGCAATAACTGTCAGAGCTTTGACTTTCATGAGCTTGTAACGTTGTTTGGAAGGAACTGAGACTCGGAAGGGAGACGTGACTTAACAGCAGGTCGGCTGGGCAGGCAGAGAGGGGAAAGAGGAAGAGGAGCTGGGGTGGGGGTGTGGGCAGTATCTTTGCCCCAGTCCCCCCTCGCCCCCCACTGTGTGGGTGGATTAGTAAGGAGGGACGCCTCCAAAAGACAACGAGGAAACTTTGGAAAGGAACAAAGCTTTGGGGAGGAAGAAGGCCTCCATCCTCCGTGTCAGAAAGCAAAAAGTAGAGAAATGGCCAACACGGGACCCAAAAACTAAGTTGGAGAATAGACGCTTTGAACTGGGTGTCATAAGCAGGGGAAAGAAAGTGGCCCCAGGTAGAGGTCAAGGGGGTCGAGGCCTCCCACATCTCCCCTCTTCCTCTCCTCACTGCTTGGGAATTGCGCCCCCGGTGTTGAGAAAGAGGGGTGCATCTGAGGGCCCTGGAGCTTGGGGGTGGCAGGGGCCCTTCTGCTCCCTGTGGACTTTAGAGACCCCTCTTCCTGGGAGTTAGGACTTTGGCTGAGTTTTCCCAGGTGCAGAAGCAAGAAATCCATCATTGCTGAGGTTAGCATCAATCAGTTTGGTTGCTCCCCAGATACGCATTGGACATCTTATTTCTTGCAAAGGCTCAGGGCCAAGTAGGTGTGTCTGAGGCTGGCAGCCAGTAGGAAAAGGTTCCATTTTCTTCCAAATCACCCCACGCAGAAGCAGCACAGGCAGCATGAAATTCTTAACTTATGACAGATCCCCTTCCATTCATTCAAGAAATATTTCTTGACTCATTGTCATAGACTCAGCAATGGGGACTCCAAGGACCATTTAGAAAAATCCTCTTTTTTCCCATGGAGGAAACAGATCCTGAAAAGGAGGGAGGAGTGACTTTTCCTCTTGCAGATGGACTGAGGGCTGGACATTTTCCATCCACGGGTCTCTGAAACACCTGTACCATCCAGGACAGTGATGAGCCCCCGCCTCTTGTCCCTGCAATGGGTACAACACTTGTTTCACACCTTAAATGCTATATTAAACATCCACTACATTTTAAAAATTTTAATCTACAATATATCCAGTTTGAGCTTAATAGAAGAAGAATGATATATATTTCTTACCACAAAGCAGAGTTTCTTCTCGAAGCCTCACGCTGCTACTGCAAAGAAGAATGCTAAGTCCCAGAAAGTGCCGTTTACTGAGCACCAGCTCTGCACTAGGCGCTCAGCTGGGGGATTTGAATAAGTTATTCTGTATAAGCCTCATGACAGTCCTGTATATGTTTAGCACTTTCTTAACCCCATTTTCTAGATCAAGAAACTGAGGCTCAGGGAGGAGGTGTGACTTGTCCAAGGACACACAGCTGGTAGACCATGGGGATGGGGTTTCCCATTGTCTAACATTTGAGTGTTAGACTCCAATGCTTATGCTCCTTTGGTTCATTACTTGGGAAATTGTGTGTGTATGTGATTCTCCTCCCTTCCCTGTCCCATGTGACCAACTAACGTGAAGCCTGGTGTGAAGGCCTCTCCCCACTGGCAGGCTCTGTGGACTCTTGGCTGCCCTACCCTGCCCTACCCTGGACTGTTTCTCCCCAGGCTTGGCCACAGCTGTCAAGAGATGCCAACCTAGTTATTTGTTACTAAAATAAGTCAATTGCCTTATCAGAGTTCAGCTGCCCTTCTAGACATGCTCTCATTTGCAGGCTTGGAAAAAAAGGAGAGGCTCTGCTTCTCGTCTAAGAGACAAGTTAGGGCAATTCCCTCCTGCCTGAAAATTAAAGAAGAGCCCCTGCAGAGTTCCTCACCCTAACCCTGCAAGCATTTTAGATGCATTAACCTAGCAAGGCCCTCATCACATGCTCCACGGAGGCCCCCGGTGTTTAGCAGGTTGTATGTGGCCCAGCGAGGGCAAGCCTTAAGGACTCAGGTGGTGGGCTGACATGATCTTCTACAAAGGTCAAGGATCTTGAACTGAAAGCTGTATGGAACTCAAGGTGAAGGCAGCCACCCAAGTGAGATTTCAGATCTGTCTACAGCTTCTGGGCTGATGGTTCTAAGCTGGGGTTCCCTGGCAGAGTAGAGATGGTGGGAGGCAAGCTGGGCTTCCCCAGCAGGGGTCCTGCCTAGGGCTGGGGCAGGGTTGAGGCAGGGCTGGGGCAGGGCTGGGGCAGCGCTGGGGCTGGGCTGGGCTGGGCTGGAGGCTGTCCTGGGACTGGAGCTAGGTTGTGTTGGGCTGGGGCTAGGCCAGGGCTGTGGCTGGGTCTGGGTCTTGGCTAGGACTGAGACAGAGGCTGGCAAGTTATGTCTCCCCAGCACCTGGGGTCAGCCAGCTCCACCCAGAGCCTGAAAAGGAAGTGGCTCTTGTGCAAGGGCGAGCAGAAGCAGGTGGCAGATGCTGTCGGACAAAGCATGGTTCTCAAAGGGGATCTTTTCTGCTTCAGAAAGAAATTCTGGGGATTGCACAGCGAGAAGCTGATGACTCAATTTCTTTTGTGTCTCTGCTTGACTAGGAAGTACACAAGCGTTCTTTAGAACGATCAGGGTAGCCTGGTGCCTCCTACTTTAAATTCGAACCCCACTCTCCACTCACTCGGCAAGTTGAAATTTTTCTTAAAATATGTCCTCCCACAGGGCTCCTGGGTGGCTCAGTGGGTTAAGCCTCTGCCTTCAGCTCAGGTCATGATCTCAGGGTCCTGGGATCGAGTCCCGCATCGGGCTCTCTGCTCAGCGGAGAGCCTGCTTCCCCCTGCCTCTCTGCCTACTTGTGATTTCTCTCTCTGTGTGTCAAATAAATAAATAAAATCTTTTAAAAAAATGTCCTCCCCCAAAGCTGGTCATCCAGGGTATGGGAAGCCAGACCAACCTGACAGAGTTAGGAAGAAGTGTTTTCTAGTCTGTGGTTGTGGAATCTGGCTTGGTATGGATAAAGTGATTGGGCATGCCAAATTTCCCAGGAAAGTCAGGATTTCAAATATGCAAACACTCTACCAATTAACGCATAGTATATATTTTGTCTAAGGGTCTCATTTTTCTACCAATAAATGTATGGCTTCGTGTGATTAGGAGTCAAAACCTTTGCAAGGTGTTT